TGTCATATCTTGCCCTGTCCGACGTCTCCCTTCATCCACTTTTCGGTTGTCTGTCCCCCAGGGAGGAGGTCACACACAGTTCCATGTAATCGGTTCCCTCAACTCTATTGCGATTTTCAGTTTTCTTCTTAGCTTTACGGTTGGTGTCACTAACTTTCTTTGGAGCCATGGTCAGGATATTTTATATAACTACAGTACAAACGCGCGATGACGCAGGGTTAACGCATCACCACAAGCACTCCGTGTTGTCTGCGTGAGAGCAGCACTTAGGGCGAGGCAAGGCTCAACACACTGGACGCACACTCGCTCTTGGCCTGTGAGGGTTTCAACTTGGATTTTCGGTTTGACTATTGAGTAAAGTTACACTGAGCAGAATTTTTTTCGAAGCTTGCTGTTTTGAGTAGTTTGAGTTTGGAACTGTTTAACCATCCAGGTATTACTGTAGGTATGTATGAAGAATATCTATGAAGAAATAAGAGAATAGATTTAAGATTTTATTCTGAGGTAGAGAGTAAAATTCTAGCTAATTTTATGGGCTTAGATAATTAGCCACAAAATAGAAGTTCCATGACTACTTGCTTAACTACTTTGTTCCCTGACTACTTTGTACCTTCTGGGGTTTTTTTGTCTTTCAGAAGAAAAAGACAGTCACATGTTCTGAGAGTCTTTTATGTAAAAATGGTAGACTTTGAGTAAGGGAACTGAGACAGATAATGCTTCTTTAAGCTTTTTTCTTCTGAAAGTAATGAAAGTGTAAAATAACTGCTTTCTTTGGGTGAAGAGTATAGTTTTTGCACTACAGGGGACAACATTGGAGACACAGTTTGGAAATTCTGCCCAATCTAGCTCCACCAAATGGGCAAAACAATGAAGTCCACGAGGAATCCTAAAATAGACTATGGGGACAGGGCAGGGCACCTTATCAGATTCGACCTGGAAAACACTCATAAAGGTCAATAAACAGACCTAGAACTCTTAAAAAAAAAAAAAAAGAATATGGTTTTTAAAAAGTCATTGGAGTTTGCTTCCTTTTAGCTTACCAATGATGTAAAAACATTTTCTGTTATAATCTTCATATGGTATTCAGGCAAACCATCTGGAGTCTCTTGTGCAAAGCTAAATAGCTAAAGCCATTTAATTATTTCAAGGCAAATTAGTAGCAACTTCTATAGGGCAGGTTTTGGCAGACTTTTTAGTAAATATTTTCAGCACCATAGGCTGTATGGTCTCTGTCTCAGCATGCTCAGCTCAAGTCAGTATAGTGCAAAGGTAGCATAGACAACATGTAAGCAAGTGAAGGTGGCTGCCTTCCAATAAAGCTATGTTTATGGACCCTGTATTTTTCATGGGTCACAAGATAATCTTGTTTTGATTTTTCTTTTCAATGACTTAAAAATGTATAAACCATTCTTCCTGCATGGCTCATACTAGAAGGATAGTTGGCTGCATTTGGCTTTAGGACGGTTATTTTGTACCCTGCTTTGGAGAAAGGTGCGTGTATGATTGAATTTGGCTTCTTTACAGGACTTGAAATTTTTTTTTAGAGAATTCCTGTTTTATAAGCCTACTACAAAATGCTCTAGCTTGAGACCAGAGGAGGTACACTGGTACAGATAGGAACTGAAAATACAGGGAATCCAGGACGGATGAGCCCTATAGGACCAGTGGTGTGAGTGGCAAAACAGGGAGGGTAAAGGGAGAATGGGTAGGAAAGAGGGAACCGATTACATGGAACTGTGTGTGACCTCCTCCCTGGGGGACAGACAACCGAAAAGTGGATGAAGGGAGACGTCGGACAGGGCAAGATATGACAAAACACCCATTTATAAACTATCAAGGGCTCATGCAGGAGGGGGGAGCGGGGAGGGAGGGGAAAAATGAGGACCTGATGTCAGGGGTTTAAATGGAGAGAAAATGTTTTGAGAAACGATGTACAAATGCGCTTTACACAATTGATGTGTGTATGGATTGGGATAACAGTTGTATGAACCCCTAATAAAAAGTTAAAAAAGAGAAAAAAAAAAAGCTCTAGCTTGTTATATCTTTGTGGAAGTGGCTTTCTTGTCTTGAATTGGCAATGTGGGACAAAGAAAATTAAAGGAGGGCTACTAGATTGATAGCTATGAGGCTGCGAGATAAAAATGTGAAT